AAAATTGTTTATGTGGTGAGAAAGAGACAGTAAAACATTACTTACTGCATTATTTTCTCTACGATGTTTTCTGCACTTTTTAAATCTATAAATAATTCGATATGAAATCCAGATTACTAATTAAAAAGTCTCTTATTTTTAACTAACACAATTCCTAAAGATAATTATTGTATTATCTGTCGTTTAGTTGTTAAATATATTGATACAACTTCAGGGTTTGCCGTTGATAGATAAATACTATGTTAATCTCCCTTACTCTCTCTCTCACATTTTCTTTTTTCGTCATTAAGATTTTATTATTCTTATTTACATATTGTAACATCAAAGCCATATTTATTTATATTATTTTACTATTGTTTATGGTAATCAAGGAGAAGGTATAATAACTTCTGTCGATTCCATCTTTAAGATTACATTGTTCTCGAATATGTTGTTTTTAGTTTCTTTTTATTTTAAATAAATAAAGTTTAAACTAAACTAAACTCAAACCTAAGAAATTAAATAAATATAACAATAGTGCAACTACAGTCAACCAAGATTAATACGTATCATATCAACAAAATTGATAGTTTTACAAAGATATATTTGTGGATTGTGAGCTAGAAAACCATATTTCATAAAATATATTTGAAACCTGGATCCTAAAATGAAAGAAGCAAGAAATCAATGTATAATGAACAAAACGTAGTAAAGAGAACTTTACCCTATCGCCTAATTGTCCTCTCATTGGTTGTATTTCTGGTTGTTGTTGTTCTGATGTTAACCTAATACGTATTCTATTTTCACGTTTCATTAACAAATGTAATATTAGAATACAAATCAATGTCAGCGACATGAACGCAACATTTGTCAAATGACCAATACGATAATTAGATCGATAGATTTGACCCGAAATTGCACCACCGATATTTCCGAATCCAAGGATTAGACCCGCGGCCCAAAGTCGCTTTGTTTTCCCACCAATGTTAGCCGAGAACCATGAGAATATCAACGGTGTAGTAGTAAATGTACCCATGCAAGTGAAAATTGTGGCAATATATAATGCAGCGAAATTCCCCGATTGTTGTTTGATCGATGTTAAAAAATAAATTCAATTAAACCAAGGATCGTAAACACCCCAGTATATGTACGTTCCCGTTTTCTTCCAACATGATAAGAGACAATAATTCCTGTCAAACACGCAATTGCATAGGGCGGTATAGTCATCAGTTGTGCTCTGGTATTTGAATAATTGCCAAATTCCTGTATGGTACTTGGCATAAATAACCTCAAACTCTGTGAGGGAACTGTTCTTCCCAAAAACATGAACATATACAAATAAACTTTGTAATCGAGGAATGCGCTTTTCACTTGTGCTCATGAAAAGTCCACTTCATCTGCAAGTACACCAGCGTCTTCGCGCAAGTGATTTACCAACATATCACTTTCTACTTTATTGAGCCCTATACGTTTACAGTTTTAGTAGTACAACAAGCACATGAACAGCGTAACTTACAGCTCATGGGCTAAGCAAGATCCGCCAGGAAAACGATAGTTATGACAGCAAGACAAATGGTTATTATACCTTCAATCAAAAATATCCATTGCCAGCCGGCTAAATTGCCTTCTGTATGCAACTGATCAACAGCAAATGCCAAAATACCACCAACTATCCCTGCTAAGCTGTCATCTGAATAAAATAAGGCTAGTCGGAAGGGTTGATCATCTCTGATATACCACAAAGAGAGATAGAAGATCACACTCGAGGAAAAACCTGATTGTGCCATACCTTCAAAAAGAAAACGAATTATTAGAAAAACTATAACCCAAAATCATCTTTAAAACTGTACCAAAAAGAAGCGTGCCAACAACAAGCCAGTAAAATCCTTTATGAGTACCATCAACGTCATAATAATACCCCAAGTAAATGCCAACGAACCAATCCATCTAGACGAGCGAGCATTTTTCCTGATGAACAGCAATACTATTGAAAACAAAACCTTTAACATAACAGGCGTGAAGCATACAACAGCAGTTACATCATATATTCACTTACATCGCTCAAATAGAACATGGAAATAACCCAATCGAATTGGGATGGTGTCAAGCGAAGATCTTGTTCGATACCGACGACTTTAGCATTTCCTATGAAAAAAGTATCAGCATATCACCATGCAAACATTATTATGTATCTGATTAAGACTAACCGACGTTTATTCGACCGAAGTACGAGAACAAATATAGTAATGTCAGAATTGGCATCAGTCGTCGATTCAATTTTCATAGTAGTTTCCGTGGTATTGCCATCTCTCTCACAATTCTTAATTATATCAGCCCTCTTTTTTGACCCTCTTGGAAACCCGGAAAGCCAATATTTGGTTGGGCTCAAATCAATATCAGAGATAGAACATCGAAAAGAGAATCGATGTATGTTTGCTCATCATTTTCTGACATGTTCTTCCATGAGTTTTCTGGATAATTGTAGTTTTCATCCAGTCGCATAACGATTCCTCAAAAAACTGGTCCGATCGAGGTGAGATTTTGACCACAGAGACTTTAGGCCATATCTCAGGTTCAAAATGTTTTTTCCAAAAATACTAAAAGTCTCATATAAAAAACTGGTTTTCTTTTTTAAAAATTTCACATCGAAATTTGAAATCCGAAACGTTTAAAAAGAGATACAGTCTAAAGTATTTGTGGTGAATATTTTAGCTCGATCGAACCATATTTTCGAGGAATGGTGATGTGGGGAATCGGAAACTGGTCAACTGAGACTTTCGTCACCTACACCTTCGTCATTGACTAAAGTTTTGTCTGACGCTCGTCAATTGACCAAAGCTTTAGATGACTTTTGTCAATTGACCGAAGTTTTGTCTGACGTTCGTCAGTTGACCAAAATTCACCTTACTTCAATCACTGATGAAACTGTGGTTGTATCTTCGAGAGTTGACTAAAATTTGCCGGAAAACGGTATCTTTTTCGACTTTGTTGAAGATCTGTATGTCACGACAAAAGTGCAACTTCAGCCCAGCCTCATCAGTGATAACCTTATTTGGTCAGTTGACGGAAGTTACACAAAACTTTGGCCAATTGACGAAAATCACGCAAAACTCTGGCAAATTGCC